CCAGTATTATCGACCTATTTCGCGCCCTTTTTCTACCTAAATTTGAAGTAGTTTTGAGCGAAAATTTTGAAAATGAACCATCATTATAAGTCAGAAATATCTTTAAAATGACTAACTCCAAAAACAAATATTCAGATGTCGAGTTGTTAAGTTTTGATTTTTGTCCACAGAGGGCCGCACTGTGCGACGACTCGGCCTCGAAGCCCTTTTGGCTTATCCTTCCCGTCGCCCTCATCGACAAAGTGGGCCAGAAAATTAATTTTTGTAAAACAAATGGATTATTCGACAGAGTAACAGTGAATCACCACGCGAACACAGATGAACATATTTGTGTTCTTGCGTTACTTTTGGTTCATACAGGAAGTGATACGCAAACCTTTAGACATTTTTTGTTGATTTTAGTACAGTTTGCGGTAAATTTAGCGCAGAAAACAATGGAAGGACTGGGAAAATGCATTCCTCCGACTGCGGCGTTGATATTCACCTCTCCTTTTTTATTAATTTCTTCAAAAAAACTGGCTGACATTTTCTCTTGAAATTGTAAACCGAAAGCTGGGGTTATTTTGTGTTTTACTTCCCGTATTAATCAAACTTTTGTGTGCAAATTTCTCTCCGTGCAGTGATGCAAAAGTGATTGTCAAGCGTTTGCCTACAGTGCGATTTCAACTCGAGACTTCTTACACAGGAAGAAAGAGTGGTCGACATGTTAATCTGATATGGGAGTAGAACACAAAATAACCAAAACGATGGGTTAATTTTTTTTTTTTTTGGTAATTTTCTGAGTTGCATTTATCAAATCTTGGGGTCGAAAAATTGCACCCCGTTAAAAATCTGATATGAACCGCTAAGATCGAACCTGGATCGCCATATGCGCTGGCCACTCTTAATTCGCAACCCCCGGAGTGACAGTGAGAGAAACAAGAATACATCAGTAAGACACTTTCTCCATCCCTAGATGCCTCAGAGTTTCCTAAGCATTACAAGGTATGCAAATTTAGGAGGTCTCGGAGCTTATATTATAGACGACCCTAAGTCCAACTCTACTAAATCCCAGGACCATGTCACTGTGCGCCGCGCCATCAACCTCAGCTTTTTTTCCTCCAACCTGCTATGCTGCCCTTACCTATTTCTCTCATGCTCCAACTACATGTTTTCGCCCCCCTTTCTTAATCGAACTTCTCCCCCCTCTCTCTCGAATGCATCTTACCTCTCATGTCGAAGCGTCCCCGTACGCATATCCTCACCCCCTTTAGCGTGTATTTGTCCCCCTTCTTTTTGTAATTGGCGTCCCTCCCCCCTATTTGTCTCGATCGTGAAACATGAGCCTTGTAACATCAAAACCACGCATGCGTATCTGTTTTGCTCCTCGCGTGAGATTTTTGGACCAAACCGCTAGGAAGGTTACATTGCTAATTTTATGCCTTGAGAGTCCTTCTCTTGATTTTTTAAGCATATGAACTTTATGGAATGGACCTCTAGACAAGACATGAGTTAACGCACTGTATATCTTGTTTCCTTTCCAAAATCTCACGAGGAAAACAAATCGCACAACGGGAAGTCTGGAGGTCAATTTGGTCAAGTCCTAAACAAAAGACAGGTGCAAAATTAACATAGGTGGAAAAACAAAAATTGAAACAACCGCATTTGTAAGATCTCCATTTCTATTGATCTGTTTTAAAGCACTTCTTAGTATCTCGTTCAGGAGTTGGTCTCTGAACCTCCTCGTTAGACTTAGAAGAGGTATCGCACAACCTTTCCTCTAGTTCTCACCTTGCCTAGTCGCCCATCATGTATGTGTATTACGTATGTGTATCACGTATGTGTATCACGTATGTGTATCCTATTTTCAAAATTACCTGTAAAGACGTTAATAGCCTGAGTCGCTGAATGTCTCCAAATTATAATAACTAACTAACTATCACGTATGTGTATCACGTATGTGTATCACGTATGTGTATCACGTATGTGTATCACGTATGTGTATCCGGCTCTTTTCTTCTGAGAGGTATAATGGACCACTAGACAAGATACGAATTTAAACAATCTGATACATGTTTCTTAACAAGAATTTCACGTAGAACACGATTCGCGCAACGAAAGTTACTGAAACCAACTCCTAAGGAAGATATTAACGTTTTTATTTCACATCAGTTACGAGGAATTTGAACTGCCCGCTCACTAGAAACTCAAAGATCTACGTGAGTCAAATCGCGCACTACAACGGTTTCAGCAAGCTTCTCAATCGAGAAATGTTCATTTCCCACCATGTGTTGTTCAAACTGTAAGCAATTTGCCATAGCTGAGTCAAAGCATCAAGATTGAGGTTGCCAGATTTTTTTATCACAGAGATGTTCATGATAACGTTTAGCGGGCGATGTGAATCACGTAGAGCATTGAGTTTTCATGAGCGGGTGGTTTGAATTCACGCATCAAGAATCATTAAATATATTTAGAAGGAGTTGATTTCGGTAATTTTCGTTGTGCGCATCGTGTTCTACGTGAAATTTTAGTTGAGAAACATGTATCAGAATGCTGAAATTCGTACCTTGTCTAGTGGTCCATTGGGGGTTTTAAAATTCGCCAAACGGAGCCTGATAAATATCAGGTTGAGCGCTTTGCTGGGTGAATTTTTGCAACTTAGGTTAGATTTGCTAGTCATCATTTGGCGAATTGGAGCGTTGGCTGCTGAAAGTAACTTTCATACTCTAGGGAAAGACATCAGTGCGAGGTCAAAAAAAATTCCCGCTGAAGGATACCAGTAACTAGAATCTCGCGCCGAATTCGAATTTAAAAATGGTATACTCATTTTCAGGAGTAGCTCTTTGAGTGAGCTTATTAGTCTACGTTGACAAATCTAATCGTCACGCTATATAGGAAAGCCTGATCAAAAAAAAAAAAAAAAGACTACTTACGGCAGAAAACTCCTCGCGGTTTAACCTTGGATTTCCATAGTAAACTTTAATTTTTATTTACAAGGAAAAAATAATCAACAGTTTATCTTTTAACTGTTCGTGAATTTGCTCTCTCATTCTAAAATATTCAGCGAAAATTTCGGGAGGAAACTTTAGTCATGTTTCGGTCGCCAAAGATATATCAGGCTATATTTTAACTGAGAGAATAAGGAAGTAGAAGATCAAGAGAGATCAAGGAGAGTATAGAGAATGGGGGAAAATTTCCCTGTGCAAAGGAACTGATTCGGAAGGGTAGCACGCCGTCAATGACTGGTTTCGGAGCCGAGACAAGAGCCTCACGCCGAAAGCATCAAGAAGCTGCTATATTGATACCAAAAATTTCAAAATAGAGGTGGAGGCAATGTCAAAAAGTGAGGTAAGGTCCACTCAATAAACAATATTAAAATTCCTTTTCGAGGTGATGCTTAGCGGCGATAACCCGAGTCTGAAATAATCGACTCTCCGCGCATCCTGAATCCGGAGGTGGGCACGTGGCGGAGGGAGGTTGTCTCAGTAAAATCGAGTTTTCTCACGAACCCCTCAACCGATTTTCAAAAACTTGAGCTTGCTCTAAAGCTGAGAGTATGTATAGGATGTCACTTTTTACCGACTTGATTTATCTCTTTTTGTTTGGAAGATACAAGGTGGGGAGCCTTACTTTTTGGATGACCCTCGTATTATCAAGTGCTCAACAATGGGCCTGTTGCAAACTTTTGCTAGAGCAAAAATAAGAGTTGTTTCTTGTAGATAATGCCTCAAAAATCATGATGAGCGCATCGGCAAAGTCTGAAATGCACTCATAACTTCACAATCTGCGTAAGAAATTTGCGTTTTTTTAAGCTTCCCGCTTCAAAAACGATACTACGGCATAGGTGAACATTTTGTTAGAGGAGT